AAAAAAAAATAAACCACATTTTTAAATGCTGTAAACACACTGTATAAAAATTCACCCAAGGCACAGCATTGTCATATTTGCACTAACTTTGGTTTCAATAGCTTACTAAGGCACTGTATATAACGTTTTACTGCGTGGAAATACTGCCAGTGTTACACTGTTGACATCTGACAGCTCACTGACCACGAGTCAACAAACTGTAAGCTAACCATGTCAAAGGGTTTTACACACACACACACACATATATATACTGTATATATATTTGTTATAACACACAAACAAAACCATAGGCATCAAACAAACAAAAAAATGCAATTACATATTTGCTTTCACAAAAGATGCAAACTACGGCAAAACAACATTTCAGAAAGTACCAATGACGGATAAAATGGTTACAAAATGCAATAAGAAAACAATAACATTATAGCTGCAAGGTCAGCTATATTATGAATGCTTTAAAAACCACGTTTTCCACATTCAAAGAAAACTGTTCAAGTGTTCATACGTTACAAAGGAGATAGATCCACATGTGCTGCACCAACAAGAATTCAAGACTCAAAGAAGGCTATAAGAAAAAGTAACCAAAAGTAGTTGCTTAAAAAAAATGTATCAGTAGTTTCGTGTTTCACACAGATGCTTTTATATGACAATAAAATATGCAAATTAAAATATATAATATACTTGCATGATAACTAGAATGTTTGTAATAGCCAACATGTCTGATAAATATGAAAAAAAAAAAGATTTGAGAGGCTATTTTGTAGAACTTTTTAAGAATATTAAATGAAATGAAAAAATAAAGTGACTCATAAGAAAGGTATGCTTTCACATTGGAAGTTGGTGCTAACATGAATCATGATCAATCTAGATACATTGAGTGTCCATCTCTCAACAACTGAGAGGAGGCAAACCCCATCTTTGCATGCATTAGCAAATCTCCTATTTGCATAAGCTGGTCTTACCCGTTATGTGATAAATACTAATTGTCTGAGGCACTTAGGACGAAAGCCTCAATGCTGACAACACTTAAATCAACAATAATACCACCAAAACATGGACTTAACATTCACATTGCAGAGTAACACTATGATCACTATGATGATTGTCTCCCACAGGTGTTAAGGTCCAATGTTTCATGTTGAATCCAGCCAACATTTCAGTCTGTGGAGAAACTAGCTAGATCACTGCACCAGGTGTACACAAGTGTGCATATGAGTGTGGGCAAGGTGGTGTACAGTATTACATATGAAATCAAATGTAATCATGCAACTTGGCGCTCTGTCAAACACGTATACTGTAATGTAACCATTGTGAATGGGCACGGGGCTGCACCCTCTAACTGAGCCTCCACTCCCCATCTAACCAGCTTGTTTAATTCAATATGTGCTAAGAGTTTTGACGCTCCTCCCACGATCTGACGTCTGCAGGTTAAGTCTCACACACTGGCCCCCGCCGATCGGCCTCCGTGCTTTGTGAATCCGCCTCCTCTTCCTCCTCTTCCTCCTCCGTCCCCGGGCATACGGTCAGAGTGATGGTTTCCGTTGTTGTCACATCCTGCTTCCCGTAGCGTTGAACGACTGATTGCTGCCCAGAGCCTTTCATTCTCCTTCTTCTGCTCCTCAACCTAGAGACGGCAGGAACACATGCGGTTACGTATGCACAAGGATCAGAATCGGCACGGAGGCGGGCAGGTGGAAAAATGTCTCACCTGCTTCTCAAGCATCTGGATCCTCGTCTCTTGACGGGCGACTGTCTCTCGCAGCTGCAAAATAAGCCCTTCTGTCAAATACTGGGACGATGGGACGTACTGACTAGATCTTGATATTTATTGTTGATGTGCAGATACCTGTGTGACCTCGCTGCTTGATTTGCAGCATGCGCCCGATTCTCCTTTTTTGCCGCCGTTATCCTCCAGTCCATTGACTTTACCACAGCTCATTCGTTTAGTCTGTGGAATATTGAGAGTGAACACAGTGGATGTGTTTCAAAATGGGGTATTACCCAGCATGATCAGCAGAATTGTGAAATATTAAAAGGTTTCATTAGGAGTATAAAATGAATGTCTAGATTAGTGCAAAGGACAGCTATTTTTGCATTACCGATAGGTCTTTCTTACTGCTGACTGCTGCTGCCGCTGCCTTTAGCTCTTTCAGCTCCTCGTAAGGTAGAGTGACGCTCTCAGAGAAGGAAGCGAGCTGATCAGGAGTGGGTGGCTCAGAGCCCACCGGCATCGGGATGTACTCTGCATCCTCGAGCTCCTGTTGAATGATAACCTCCCTGAATTAAAACACTGTAGTCTCCATTCAGATGTTTCTGCCTTATGATTCAAACTTAAGTTTCCTTGCCCTTCATTGTAACAAACCTTTCTAAGCCAGAAGGGGCAGGAGCTGTCCCCAGTCTGACTTGCTGCTGACATCATCGGGGTCTCCATGAAGCACTCCTCTGTATTATCCTCCATTGTACCCCCGAGACCCCTGTCACGACACTCCGTCTCTGAACCAGGTTCTATGTCCAGATCCACTGTGGATGTAGATGCCTCATGGCCCAGTCCTATATGTACACACATACAATGTAGATTGTTAGGTGTAAATGTAGACTTTTTCTTTAAGCCAATAAAATTAATCAATACACAAAAAAGTATTTACCACTGCCAACTGATAGTCCACTGCTGTTAGAGCGAATAGTCTTTGAGTTTAGCACTTTCTCTGCAAAGAAGAACATGTATTAGACAGCTGGCTGCTTGCACCAATACACTGTGCAATTGTCTGGTTGTGATTACTAACCCATTATGATAATGGTGTGCCAACCACGGCAAGAGAGGTCCGGTACATGGTGGAGGGAACCAAAGATTGGCCTTGGCATTGCAGGGCAAACCTCTGAACCAAATCCCTTATCAGCAGGCATCCCAAGTCGCCCGTTTCCTGCGTTTCCCCAAGCGAAGATCTGATTGTCTGCAAGAATCAAAAACATATGATATATGCTCAGGACCAAAAGTCTGGGGCAGTGGCTTCTGGGTAGAAATAAAACGGTCTCAAACATTGACATAAAATCCATAGAATATACAGATTATTAGGGCTGCACAATTAATCGACTATGAATCGATATCATGATTTTGGCTTTCCACAATTAAATTAGCGTGATCATCTACAATATTTACCTTGGCTCATAGAAAACTGTGCTGCATATCAAATCATGCCCTTCCTAAACTAACAAATATGTCAGGGAGTGATGGAACAAGAAGGAGCAGCCACAGTGAGCTATTAGAGGAAGAGCTAAAGGCAACACGCTGCACAACTCCAACCTCCAGCCAGGTAACCAAAGTTACTTTCACTGTTGCTGTTCACAGACCGACGCCGTGTGCAGCATAAAATCAGATCATGGTTGCTCACAGGCGTACATGTTCTCACCCTCAGTGGCTGCAATAGTGAAGCCGTCTCCACATGACACTTTGGTCACTATCTTCCCTCCAAAGGGTCCGACGAGGACTTGGACACCCTGGTGTTTCTTGAAGTCTTTGACACCTTGCTGTCCGAACTTGTTGCAACCGAAGGTGATCAGACGACCACGTTCTGCCAACCCAGAAATCATTTGAAATAAAGTTTCTTTGAAATGGTGAAATGTGAGTTTGAAATATGAGCATCTATTTGTATTACCATCAATAGCAGCTGTGTGGGTCTTCCCTGGAGCTATGACATGGATCTTAAACCGTGACAGCTGCTTTGCCAAGGTCAATGTGGTGATGTACGGGATCCCCTGGTAACCCTGGTGTGGTGTACAGGAACAAAAAAAAAAACATATAAATATAACTGCATCACCTAAAGTCTCTATCATTACCATCCTTTAAGTATAACCCAGTACCTCTCCAGTGTGGTTTTTGAGACCAGAGATTCCCTGGTTCAGACCAAGCTTGTTGAATTCATTGTTTCCACACGCCAGGACTTTGCCAGCTTCTGTCAAAAAGAAAGTTCCGTCGCTGCCACATGACACCGAGGAGATGGTGGCGCCTTTAGGGATCTCCACCTGGGAAAAACAGAAATAAATTGCTACAGACAACACTATATTATCATATTGCTTTAACCTCTTGCAAGGCAGTCAGGAATTTACCAAAACAGGGAACTAAATCTTACTTGCATCGGAGAAGAGAAGTCATCCTCACATTCCAGGCCGAGACGCCCTGCAGCAGGAAAATAGAGCAGTTTGGACCAAGAAACCGTATGTATGACTGTACATTTAAAAGGGCCACTATCTCCACCTGCTGGTTACAGTTATAACAGCAAAAACAACCTTGCAAAGGCTTAATGACCTCAGCACAAAACGACAGTAAATACAGCAAACCTATGTACCATACTCTCCACAGCCCCAGGAGTAGATGTCCCCACTCTGAGTTAGGACCACCACATGGTTGTCTCCACACGACACCTGACGGACAGGCCGCTCCTCAAAAAACTCCAAAAGCACTGGCTCCAAAATCTCCATGCCAAGCTCACCCTCCACTCCAATGCAGCCATAATAGTCTGACCCAAACATGTACATCTGGCCCTCATCTGCAAAAGTGGTAGCAGCAGAGGGTTCAAAAAGTGCAGTTAAAGAAAACATATTCTTTCTCAAGTTTTAAGGAAGTTTTCCTCACTCACCGGTGACGCAGGCGGTGAAGTCAGCCCCACACGCCACCTGTCGGATGGACTTCCCCTGTAGCTTCTCCACCTTCTTCGGCTGCCGGCACGATGCCTGGTCTCCGTGCCCCAGCTGGCCCACCATCTTGGCTCCACCTTGAACATTCTGAAGAGACGTTTGGAGAAAGAGAGGGTTCTTTGTAATGAAGCACTAGGACAACTGGATCCAGCAGATCTCTCCTGGAGTGGCGGCTCAATACTCACAGCCCAGGTATATAGCTCCTTTTCCACGGTCACCACTGCAAAGTGACTCTCGCCTGCACACACATGTTGGGCACTGCTGCCTCCTTTAAAAGTGTCCATTTTCTGGGGGGTGAACTTCCCTCCACCCCAGAAGTACACCTCCCTTGAGCGTGTGGTCACCACAGCAACAGGTGTATCAGTCGCCGTATTCAGCCTATGGAGCAACCCAGACAACAATCAGTTATATACTACGAATTTTTACTTAAGGGACCATAGACAGGCTTTTAAAATGGAGAATATGATACAAAGTGTGTACAACTTACTTTGGTTTTTTCATTGCAGAATTCAGCAGAGCAACTCGCTCTAGAAGCTCCCTAACAGAAATTGTGAGAAGTTGTCACTGGGTTGTCATTTTGACTTTATTGCATTCAACAGAATCTAAAATAGTTTCTTACTTAGGAAGTAAACACAACACTTTTTTTCCCTCTGAACCAACTTACTGTCTGTTGCAGGAGATAATTGGCTGGTCCAGAATCTGATCAGCTGTAGGCCTGTTTGCAGGATCCTGTGACACAAAAACAACACAAGAACTTTACAGTGATATCCCTCTCGGAGGCCAGACTTCTGCTTAGCATGTAGCAATATCTCTGGCATCAGTCCATTTGTTTCATAACAATCTGAAACAACACTGTCTTCTGATTATTCCCCTCACTCACTTGATCGAGGCACTCATACACCAGTTTGATCAACGCAGAAGAATAGACATCCGAGTTCACTTCCATAGTCCAGTTGCCCTGAACTATTTTCACACAGAGGTTCAGAGGGTTCTTATGGACACAAAGAGCAAAATTAATTAGTTATAGTGATCCGATTAATCCAAATAATTCAAACTGTTTCTAGCAAATAACAGCTTACCGTTGCATCAAATGTTCGTGTAAGAGTTAAGACCTCGAAAATTACACAACCCATGGCCCAGATGTCTGATTTGAAGTTATACTTCGATCCCTGGCACAACTCAGGTGACATGTAATATGGAGTTCCCACACACTGGATTTACAGAAGAAGAAAAAGTGCAAAAAGAAGATCTGGTAAAACATGTATCTCAAGCTAATGCAGGAGGAGATATGGCAATAAACTGTGTAGTGCTAGATCTCAAAAATAAGTATTTGCAAAGTAAACTCATGGTCAGCAAACACCCATAGCATCACTACAAACTTAAATATTTTGAAAATATTTCTATTTCTAACATAATACCTAACATTATCACATCATCATTTTATATCATCTTTGTTGTTGGCAGCCAAACAACAACAACAAAAAAAACCTTAAACCTGCTCTATTTGTATCAAGCCTTTGCACGCACTTTTGACCTTTGCATTATTTTGGAAACAACAGAATGCATTTTTAAAAATAGAATTGTGTTTTTATTTTAATTGTATATGAAGGGGTAGATTAAATGTATACTAAATATATAGTATATTATTTTTTACATCAGGTAGGGGGATGGAGGGCAGTTTGAGATCTCTGCTATAAATGATAAAGCAATATCTAAAAGAAAAAAGAGCATCTACAAGACCAAGACCTACATTACCACTACACTTGTAGGAGCCATGTATTGATTTGTGTCTGTGTATTATTCCTCCTAGCCACAGGGGGTATATTGTAAAGGCCGAGGCTGACCTCAGGTAATTTAACTTAACTTTAAGTGCACACAGCTGTTGCTAATTTGGAAGGAGAAGCAAACAGTTTTTAACTGTGCTTGGATATTGTCATTTGACATAACGTTATTTATATATATTTTGTGTTGGAACTTATTGGAAGTCGATAGTCCACTGCTGCTCTAGACAGCTGGCTGCTTGCACCAATACACTGACAATTGTCTGGTTGTGATTACCAACTACAGAGAACACTTGAACACCCTATGTTGCTACGTACTGCTAAAGACTAGAGTACAAGTCTAAACAATTAGCAACCAAGTGTAAGACTTCGAGTCAGTAGAGAGTATTCAACTACAGTGTAACAGTATATTTACTAAATCAAAGCCAGTCTGGTTAAAGATCCTAAGGGAAAAGAAATGAGAACTTACAGTCTCTGCCATTGAAAATTCAGAGTCTAGCTTCTTTGCAAGACCGTAGTCACCCAGCTTGATGAGGTCAGTTTTGGTCAGGAAAATGTTCAGAGTTTTGATATCTCTGTGAGACAAATAAAATAAGAATGGTTCGATTAGTAAAAATAAAATCACTGTTAGACACAAAATAAAATGTTGACATGCTGAGCATCCTACCTGTGTAAGATCCCAGCCTTGTGAATGTGGGACACAGCTGAGGCAATCTGGTACAGGTACCATACGACCACCTAAAGAAACACGTTACAGGTGAAGATGGAATAGAGAATAGTCTTTTGTATAAAATAAATGCCCTGCGGTGTTGCACTCGAACCTCTTCACTGAAAAGTTTCCCCTTCTGTTGGTTGATTTTATCGTACAGATTTCCTCCTGTGGTGAGAGGGCTGTTTAGCAATTCTGTCACAAATAAATAGCATTCAAATCCAATCTCCTTACGCAGTATTTACTCACCATTGCAATACTCCAACTCAATGAGCAGGGAGTTTTTATCCATGAAGTGATTGAAGTAAGCTATGATGTTGTTGTGCTCTAGGATGGACAGGATGCTTATTTCGTTCATGACATCCCTGCGCTCCTTTTCGGAGAGTGAGTTCAGGTCCACCTCCTTCCATACCACCAGAGAGTTGTCCTAGTAAAACCAGAGGGGGCATCTCATTAAATAACACAAGTCTCAAAAGCAGCATGCAGATGTGTCCCTCCAGAATAGACAGATGTTGAACAAAAACCTTTAATGAAATCTAATTGTTTGAAGGAAGGGGTGGTATGAAAGGGGTCTGCAAACCCACATCCTGCAATATGTGCATCCAACTGTGATACAGGATAAAGAGGCAAGGCATGGGGAAGCCATTCGTCTTGTTCTCACTCAAGAATGTCTCACAGGGGCACGGAACCAGAGGAACAATGAGCAGTTCAGTTCAGCCAGACACATCCTGTACACTAAATCACAACGATCCTAAACAACATGTAGCACATGTCTGACCTATCTAAGCTGCGGTTCTCATCACTTATGACTGCAAAAACCCCACAAGGAAAAGTTGTAAAGCAGAATTAGACATGTTTTCCTTGCTGTCTCGCTGCTGCACAGATGGCACATGTCTCCACTTTCATCAACAACAACAACAACAACAACAAAGTTTTCATGAAGGAAAAATGAGCGTTGAATGGCATCGTGTGTGATCCGTGCCGACACAGAGACCCCCAACTTTACTTACCTCTGTTCTTCTGTACAGAGTTGCTTCACCAAACGCCCCCCTCCCGAGGATCCGGATAGGAATGTAATGCAACTTCTCCTCTTCGCCATTAAACGTGCTCGACGCGGATCGCTCACTGACTACAGACCCGCCGCCCAAATCTGAATTTAGCGAGTCGAAATGTCTTTCATAGTCCTCCAGTGACATTTCTGTTTAGGGACTTGTTAGCCAGTGGCAGTGATGGAAATAACCCGAACAGGCCTGACGACAACTCTTTCTCAAAGTCTCCTACAAACCCGCACACACGTCTAACATGTTAAACCCTGTCGGCTAACAAACAGGCCTGTCACTGTATTAGCGCTACCGGGTGCCTCAAAGCCACTGCAAAATATACAATGTCAGAAAACGAAATACGACGTAGCAAAATACGTGCAACTATAGTAGTTGCAACAGTGTCAAGCATGACACAACAAAAAAAAAAGGAAAAAAAGGAGACGTTTAGCCAAGTTTTGTGAGTTTCAGAATAAAAGGGGTATCCTCAAACGGTGTTGTGGTGTATTTTACTTTGAAAGACAACACATCGCAGTTCCGGTAATGGCGCCAGTCCTGTCTCTGTGTGTTTAACTTTAGTGCAGCGCCGCCCGCCCGCCACTATGAAACCCTCGAGTGTCGGGGAAAATGTTAACTCACTAAGGGAAGTGAAGCAAGTCTGCACAACAAATACACGAGTAGCGGATGTTTGAAACGGTTTGGTCTCGTCTGAAACGCGACTAAAGAGGCAACAACACACCGAAAACTCGTCCATCCTTTCCTAGTGCTCAAACCCGGAAACTGTCAAATTAAACGGTCTCCTTGATGTGCCAGGTATTTCTTTTGGTGCATCAGCCAAAAGAGACATTCCTGTGTTGTTATTTTAACCATTAAACATTTTTTAAAATGAATTCCCCCATAAAATATATCTAAATCAGGGGTGTGTAACCTCCTTTATTTTGATATAAATTACTAAAGAAAGTTTGGTGCATGTAAACAAACTTGTAGCCAGTACCGAGGTATCACATTGATACAAAAATTATATAAAAATCCAATAATGTTGTAAAGCTGTCCTGTTAAAACACTGCCTGCAATGGTTTTCTATTGTTACCGTATATGGCAACTAAATCACTTCCCTCCCATGTGATTAAACCTTTGGCCCATGTGGACAGCACATTGGAGGCCACCAGAGCACCAGTGTGCATTACAATATGCCAAGTGTAAAGTATATTCAATAAACTTGTCATTGTGTCCATCAGAGTTCATATAGCATTTGTAAAAACCTAAAATGACATAAAAAAAACACTTTTAAGGCAGGAGACATTTTCACATAAGTGAGAGGGGGACTCAAGCACACACACACGTACACACAGTTTTGTAATATTGACAGAGCAGCCGCCTCACAGATAAAAGCGACCTGCTGGGGGATTTCTGAGTAAAGACCAGTGAAGACCAGAGGGACATCCAGACATGCTTTTTAATGACGAGGACAGCACAGATGGAAAATCATTTCATCATCATCATAACACAGGAACCAAAGGTAGGCTTGTGTTATTTAAACTGTCCTTGTAATGTTTTTTTTTCTAAACAAATGTAGTGCATTATCTGTTGTTCACCTTGAGCTCACATCGAAGTGTCTGTTTGTTCAGGATCCATGTGCACGGTCAGAGTTGGGTCCAGAAGTCTTCCACTGTATCCGATGGTTATCGTGTGTTTAGGAGTATTAAACACTATTCTGATGTTAACTGCTGTTGTTATTGGGATTTACTGTGAGTACAACTGATCCATGGACGGTGCTATTGGAGTACACTGTACCAAACGATTCATTAACTAAGCTATTTACCATTTATATTCTCCCAATGCTATTCAATACAGTAGCTTGTTTTCCTGAGTATCCTGAGTGACCCTTTTCTTTTTTCTGCTGTTCACAGGTGGCAAAGCCAATCAGTTACCCGCTCCCCACCAAATGACAGTACAAGCCCTCTTCGTAGAGGTGAAGGAACTTCAGATAATGCAGACTGAGGCGATCAAAGCTCAAGAAGAGGCCCAACAAGCATTAAAGAAAGAGCTCATGAGCCACAAGGAGCTGAAACTGCAGTTAGAGCAGAACAAGACCACCAATGACGGCCTCCAGAGGCAGATTGAGACGCTACAACTGCAGAGGGCAACAGTGCTGGCCGACACAGCCAAGAGCCGTGAGAGGCTACTGCATTTATTTTTCTATGCATTTTAGAATAACATCTTTCCTTGTTGTTGTGACTTTAAGTTATTTTCTTCTTCAACAGGGGAAAGTTGTGGACGATGTCAGTCTGGATGGTTTTTATTCAACACGTCGTGCTACTTCCATTCTAAATCTGCATCCCTTCCCTCAAAGAACTGGCCAGACAGCAGGGCGGACTGTATCAGACGCGGGGCCAATCTGACTGTGATAGATAGCTTGGAAGAGCAGGTGAGTCCAATATGCTGGAGGTGGGTAAAAAAATGAGCGGGTAAAGTTATTCTTGATGTTTTAATGAACACCAGTAGCCTTTTGAAAAGTATCAGCAAAGTATCAGCATGACAAAGGCTGCAGAAATCAAGTGGCATTCTCAGTTGTTAGCAGGGTTTTATGTGCATGGAGTTGCAGATCTTTGTTTTATAGGTTTCCACATTATCACTGTATTTAGGAAAGATGCATCTGTTAGACATTGTTAATGTTAGTGCTTAGTTAGGGCTTTTCCTGGTCTGACTAGTCAAAATATCTGCTTTATATAATAGATACTGTAGCGCTCAAGTTGTACACCATCCACGGCCTCAGTGTGCGATGTGCATCACAAACAAAGGCCGGAGGCATTTCAAGGAGAGGGGAGAGTAGCAGAGGAGTTTAGCAAGGTTAACCTGAAGGCACAGAGGCCTCATAATGAGTTTTACCAAGCATTGGAAAGCAAGTAAAGCCCCATACCACTGTGAAAACATTCACACAGACTTTCATATGGTAAGGTTGAAGATATAGTAAATGCCGGGTTGGGGGTTGTTTGAGGCCCTCAGCGTCAGACTCTTTGCTTTAAAAACCTTTGCTGTCGAGAATATATAGGCAACATCTTACAATTGAGTTGCACGTTCATGTACAAACACAACTGGTTTCAAGTATTTTTACAGGTTTCGTTACACATTTAATCAAGATTCACTTACTAGCTTTTTCCAGAGCTTTCAAACAGAGTTCACTGTCTTCAATAGCAGATTTTTATGAACATTCTTTTTATTAATTTTAATTTGCAAGAAGAAAACAATAACAACAACTCAGTACTATATATGGAGCATTTGCATTATTGGTCCAGGACACCATAAGCAGCATTCAACTAGTCACCAGAGCACAGCATGCTTCCCTCAGCATCTTATCAGTTGCTAGCTATGCTTGAACTGCTAATATAAAGGGTAAATATATACCTTATAGTAACACATTGTGATGTTGTTTATTCTTTGTTTACCTAGCTAAATCTTTTTGAGTACCTACCAAAACAGGATCCAAGCATTCGACCGTGGTGGATCAGGGGAGGTGGGGTCTGGATTGGCCTTACGGATATTCAGAAGGAGGGCAGTTGGATGTGGTTAAATAATGTGACACTGCAGGGTGAAGGGTAAGAACTTAAGTCTTACTATGCTGTGTTGTTTTGTTAAAAGAATTATTCAACAACAATCAACAAGAATGATCATGAAGCTTGTAAATAATTATCTGAATAAATGTGTCCATTAAACCACGAGTTGCACCTCCATCAAATTCTTAAATTCTGACATGTTAATGACGCAAATCAAATCCTTTCATCTGATAACTAATTACATGCATCGAGAGAGAGAGCGAGATTGTAAAATATACCTCGGCCCTTGCTTTAGGTACTGGATACAAGGGGAGCCCAACAACTATGGACTACAGGGTGAGAACTGTGCAGCATTTATGAACGTTAAAAACCCTAGGGCAACATGGTTTGACGCAAGTTGCCAAGAGAACAAGGACTGGTTATGTGAAATGGAACCCAACTAGCTGTGGAGAGCATTGATATGGCCGTCCATATCCCTATTCTGTGACTAAGAACAACCTCACAGAGCTTCTAGCATGGATTTATGCAAAGTTTATGTAAGTTTATGTAAAATTGGTTCCTGAATGTGTTCTGAGTGTAAATAAAAGTTGAGTGAGTGAAAACAACTTTTGTGATTGTGCTACTTGAGTGCAGCATTACACTAATTCTGCAGATGGTTTGATAGTAAAAACTTTTACTAAAGAATAGAGTTTGAACAATAAATTATTTTCAAAGCAACACTTGACACACTGATTTGTGGGCAGCACACCAACACACCAAAACCACACTTTATTAATCTGACTTTCTTATTTGTTGGAAAAAATGTGTTTGATAAATTAACTTGTCATTAAAGGTTCAGTGTATGACATTTAAGAGGATGAATTGGCAGAAATAGAATATAATATTCATAGATATTTTTTCATTAGTGTATAATCACCTCAATGTTTTTGTGACCTCAAAATTTTAGATCTGCATACGTCACAGGTTGCCTTCCACGTTGAACCACCATGTTTCTACAGTAGTCTAAAACAGACAAACTAAACACTGTACACTACCAAATGAATGAATTAACTAAGCTACATGTATTAAGACTTAAACAAGCAGTATGCTTGGAACAATAATGTGTGTCTGATATGTTTTTTCTGCAAAAAAGTTTAATGTCTGGGTGTTTTCTTTTTAAACACGTCATGCAACTTCCATTCTTAATCAGCCTCAAATCCCTTAAAGAACTGGCCAGACAGCACTGTATCCGGTTGATCTGGCTGTGATAGATAGCCTTGGTAAGATTGTATCCAACAATACTGTTGCAAATCCTTATTCTCAAGTTTAGTTTATGACCATTGGCCTTGCGTAAGTAAGTGATGGAACAAAGCACCAATTGGAAGAAGCACTCACTTTCAAACTAACTCTGCCCCCTTTGCATATAAAAGAGGAGGCAAGCAGTTCAGTGGTCTGTATCTACAACACTGCAGTCATGGAGAATTCACAGAAAAGGGCAAATGACAACAAAAATGGAAATTTCCGCACTTATTTTGAAACATTTTGGCAAGGTACAGAGTTTGACATTTCCTGCAATGTCTGACACATTTCTTACTTTTTCATCTAGTTGTTTTCTTTTTTCTTTGTCTGACCTTGTGATTTTGATTAATTCATTTTTGTCATTATTAATATGTTAGCGAATGAAGAGTTAAAGAGCTGAAGAGATGCATTTCAAATACATGCTAAACATACAGCCTATCCTTAATGATTGTAGCTTTAAAGTGATATATCTGTAGCTTAATGTAAAATGTAAAAAACACTGTGTATGTAGTGATAGGATTTACAGTTAAGATTAGCCAGAATACTCAAAATCTTCTGTGGATTTTTTCCTTTTTTCTTTCTTTACCTTTATTTAAAACAATAAAGCCACAGAAAATGTGAGTATTAAAGTATCATACTGAGTAACCAAGACATTCTTTTAAAGTCATGACCACAAACAAACTGTATTTGCATGGCTAGATAAAACTACAGGGTAAATTGGAAAATATGTGAAAATGTTTTGTGATTTTTGACATTGTTGATTACAGGTGGTTTCACTTTTCCCATCATCCGACTGGTTATACTCTGTCTGGGACTGTTGAACGTTGTTTTGCTGATTGCTGCTGTTGTTATTGGGATAAATTGTGAGTAAGACTGTTGGCCAAAAGTTTCATTTCCCTTTTCTCTGGAACTTCCTTGAGAAAGTTGAATAGACATGTTTTTACTCAGAAAAAAAATGTGGAAGATTTTATGCAACTCTCTTTGTGACAATGTGTTTTCTCCTCTTCAGGTGCCAAAGTCAGAGAGGGTTCCCTCAATGTTCCCCAAGCAGCTGCAACCCAGCTCATCATTGAGCTGGACTATCTCCTGAGCAACCACAGCGATGTGATGAAAGCCAAAGAGGAGGCCAAGAACGAGTTAGACAGAGCGCTCAAAAACCATGCACAACTAAAAGTGAAAATTGAGGAGCTGAAGACCATCAATGACAATTATCAGAGGCAGATTGAGGTCCTGCGAACAGAGAAGACCAATCTGCAGGCCAATGTATCAGCTTTGGGTGAGTTGATTATACTTTATTTAATCTGTTAATTCAAAATACAGAAAAATACAGAAAGTGACAAACACAAATCTTTTATTTGTCACAGAAGGAAATTGTGGCAGATGCCACCCTGGATGGACTTTTTACAACTCATCCTGCTATTTCTTTTCCTACACTGAGTTACCTAATGTCAAAAAGAACTGGCCAGATAGCAGAACAGACTGTGGTAATCGTGGAGCCGACCTGATTGTGATCGATAACCAGGAGGAGCAGGTGGGTTGAAAAGAAATTAGAAAATACTGTTAAGAATATGTAAATAATTAAGCCCTTTAAAAATGTCAATTTCTTGCTTCACAGAAATTTGTGAGTGAAATAATTGAAAGTGTAAGAAATGCACGTCAAGTCTGGGAAAGTGGATACTGGATTGGTCTCACTGACGCAGCGACAGAGGCGACATGGGTCTGGATTAATAATGTCACAGAGGTGGAACAAAGGTGAGAGCTGTAGTGTCTTACTATTAATGCTGTAGTAATTATGAATTAATGATTACTTTTATGAATGATTTGATGTTTACAAAGGTATTGGATGGATGGAGAACCAAATAACCATGGACACATGGGAGAAGACTGTGGGATTGCAGTTTTTTCCGCCACTAATCCCTGGAAGACCCGTTTTGATGCCAATTGTCAGCAGAAACAGAGTCACTGGTTATGTGAAATGAAATCAATCTAGAATCAGGAACTGCTGCTCAAGCAGAAAACACAAGTATTGTTTTGTAACTGTAACTATAAAATAATAAAATACCCCTAAGATTGGTCTTGTGTTTGGTCCTCATATGTCGTCATATGTAGAGTTTTGCAGAAGAAAGTGCATCTCAATACAATATTACTGACATCCATATTATAGCCATTATTTTAAGGTTTGCACATTATATATGTGTATATAGTGACAGAGTCAGTCGGTCAGTCCGCCACTTTGTTTCAGACTGAAATATCTCAACAAGTATTGGATGGAAGCCATGTCCACCCTCAGGGTAAAATGTAGTAACATTCATGATCCCTGACCATCATACTTACAAAACTACTAACATTCCCATCAGCCTCAGCTGTACCAGGTGTTTCATGCAATGTTAGTGTACTAACACGCTAAGCTAAGATATTGACCCTAATAAAGATTGTGTGCCAAATCAGTATGTTAGGATTGTCATTGTGAGTGCTGAACATGTTAGCATCACTCTACCTTAGGAAAGCATCACATAGCTGCTAGCCGTGCTGCAGAATGCTTTGTGCTATTAATGTTAAAAATATCCTATAACCTTTAGAGACGTACTCCACCCTAAAACTTACAATGTCTATACTATGATATAACACATCAATGCTGGTGTTAAAATTTACATTATTAAAGTTATGAAAATCTGCATCTTTTGGGATAAAAATGATTCAACACGCCATCTAGCAATACTGTTTTAAATCACTCTGAACCATTGAACCTTGCAAGCCCAATGCTGATATACAGTTGATCATTTATATAAAAAATAATGTTAACGTCCCCCGCTTTGAGTGGGAGTCAAACTGCTGCTCTTATTTTCAATTGTGTACTGATTGACAGGAGTTTATGCTATGTCTCTACTTAGTATATTTTTTATTTTGGTGCTGTCCCCCCACAGACAGACACACACATACAGGAGAGTTGTGTCAGCTGGCAATAGTGACTTAATAAATAATTATCAAGACCCTTTCAGACCCAGAGACCCATATAACCCAGATTGGCTTCTCTATTGGAGAGGGAAGGGACTTCTGAAGACTGCCTGATGGGTAACAGTTACATCTGTGTACAAAAATGCACCAGATAACTCATTGCAGCAAAGTTTTAATTTAGTTTAATTTATTACCATAGATATATCATAAGTTAAAACCAGAGTCCCAAATGGAAGTAGGTCCCCTCTGCTGGTCAACAGGTCTGAGTTAGAAACCTGGTCGCTTCAGTGAGAACTAAGCGGTTTAGATTGCATACACAAATATAAATGTTTAAACGTTTATCAATATGGACATGCTACACATCGTTAGATCAGTTACATTCTCCATAATTTAGTCGTTCAGTTCATTTTACAGCAAACCATGAGCACCAAAAGTATGAAATGATCAAATATTACAGTTAATGATTCCTAATTGATATGTTATTTAGTTGCGTCATTTTTATTCAAGTAATAATGGCTCAAACTGGTTTAAATGAACAGTTTGATAGTATTTCTCATCTTTGCTGAGTTTTATGCAAAAAGCATTAACGGCCTGACCCTAATAGAAGCAGGCTGAGTTCAGTGACTGAAGCAAATAAAAGCCTGGGCTATTAATTTAGAGTTTCATAATGGTGTGTAGAGTTGGGGGAAGAGGAGAGAGACACGAGCAGGGAGACAGACGGACGGAGGATGGGAGGATGGAGAGAGAGAGGAGGAGGACCTGAACTCTAAAAGCTGACCTACCGGGATTAACTTCTGTAAGTTCTGTACGACGGTTAGCACAGAAGTTTCATTTCCCTTTTCTGTGGAATTTCACCTTTATCAGATAGCTGAATATATGCTTTTTCGATTAAAAAACGTTAACAATTTCTTATTAAGATATTTCAACAAACACAGAAAATCCCGGCCTTTGGAATAAACAGAGTTAAATTGAGTCAACTCAATTTGACTGTACATGTGAGACCACAGAGCACACTCTAAGGCTGAGTTAAAGGAACTATTTTCTGAGTTAAAACACTACTCCCATGAAGAGTAAAAACAACTCTCATCTTGAGTTATACAACAAGTTATACTTTGAATAACAATGTAAACATGTTACAGCAAACATTCACATTTAAAACCAACTGCAACAATAACTTAACATATGGGAAATTGTGTGGTGAAATGGAAATGACAAATACATTAGAAATATAAGAAAATCGAAAATTGAAATGAGTTATAAATATATACGAGACAAATATATAATATAATAAATATATTGTCAAAACCACATCCCAATACATTGGATAAAAGGGCAAACAACCTCGTTGACTGTTACTGTTGACTAACAAACAGTAACTCTGTGGTTGTTAACATGAGGTAGACTTTTGTCCTCCACAAGGAAAACATGTAACATTTTCACTGTGTAAGCTAACAACAACTTTGCAAGTCGTCTGCAAAAATGTGTACAGGCTGGACAGACCATCATCATATTTCACACTGAAAACAAAGTGGGACTTGAACAACTCATCAAATGCACCCAAGGATGTACATGACTGACATGGAAGAAGCTTTCTATCCAAGACTATGTAGAAGCTGGAAACCTGTGCTTTTGAAGTCCCTGAGGCCAGAAGATATGGCTGAGGGTTTCCTTCAGTGGTCATGAGGTGATCCTCCAGGCTCTGGCAGGACTGAAACACAAAGACAAGCATCTACATATAGGCTATTTATAAAGCCATCTGAAATCACATTTAGTCATCCTGTTTCATAGTCAATGTATTGTTAATAGTTCTTTATTATTAAAAAGGAGAACACAGGAAATATAAGAAATGCATCTGCAAACTGTTGAGATGTTTGGACCCCTGGCCTCTTGGATGGCCTTGTCTTTAAAACCGGTCTCCATTTTCCCAGGAACCTGGAAGCAGTCTCTGCTCCAAACATCATTGAGAAGTCTTGCAAATCTGATAAAAAATAGAAGAACTATTTATGACCATTGACTCACCAAGCGCCACCAATTTCTGTCTTTATTTTTATGCTTTTATTTGACAGTGACAGCTTGAGATAATCAGATATGGGTTCGAGAAAGAGAGAGGGGGGGGGGCAGCATACAGCAAAGGGGTGTGGGTTGGAATCGAACCTGGTCCGCTGCGTTAAGGACTTCAGCCTTTGTACATGGGCTGCATGCTGTATTAGGTGAGCTACCAGGGTACCAGCCAATTCACTGTCTGAAGGATTGAGAAATATGGTCATAAATTCCTGAGTTATGGCCAAAGATGTTCTGTCATCCCTGAGTGAAAAGTGGATGTTTGAGCCAAATGTAAAGATATTGCCTTGAGGCGTTACTCAAAAACGTTATGCCTCTGGCCATGGCTGCTGTCAGAGACATAAAAATAATGTTACCATTCAGAACAAGGATTTAGAACATTGTTTTAGAGCATCTTTATAAAAAATATCATCCCATTTAAACTGCAAAATGATGTACCGTAGCCTCAGGTTTGCTATGTGTTAAATTGGTTAAACACTAATTAATTTACGAATATGCATCATGTATGTCAGGGTTGAAGAGAGATGTTAGTCATTACAGTACTCATTTATTCAATTTAACTCTAAACTGTGCGTGTACTGAGTTTATGGGAAAGTATTTCATAAGGGGATGTAGAAATAATGCTACATCTTAAATGCAACTAAGAAGACTTTCACTTCTCTTTTCTCAGTTTCAACATAAATTGGATTATTATGAATTTGTTGATGAGCTCAGCAGTTTTAAGTTTTTGACAAAGGGGCCAGTGTCCTGATAAATCATCTTTCGTGTGTGCTCTCATACAACTGACAACTGTCAGAATGGAGAGGAGAGGAAATTTTGATAGCGGATTTAACACACTGATTTGTGAAGACGACGAACACGATGAGCAGAATCCTCAATACTCCCACTCTAACCAAGGCGGGAAAAAAGGTATAGTCAGTTCAAAGTTTTCATTTAGACAATGCACTTACATAAACAGGTTTGAGTTCTCTTTGATTCTTTGACACTGGTACCAGGCTCCAGTGCTGATAAATGTTTTCTTGCCAGTTCAGTGTGACCTTTGGTAACAGTTCGTAAATATAAGTCCTGAGAGTAAAGACAATAACTTCCCATACTTCTATTGGGGATGTAAATTCGTAAGAGGGAAGCAGTAGAAGAACAAGTATAAGTATAAATTAAAACCATGGAAACGTCTGGTATGAGTTAGTGTAGAGTGAATGGCTTTAATATAATATATAAAATGTAATCAATTATTCATGATGATGAACATCAAAATGTCTTGTTAAAAATGTATTGTTAGTTCAGTTTGATACTGCTGGCTTTCTGATATTGATTCATTATCTCTCTGTCTAGTGTTCACGTACATTATGACGCCTTGGAGACAAAGAGACAGACTGGTTGCAGCGAGCCTGGCGCTACTCGCTGTCTTTCTACTCATAGTTGATATCAGCCTGGGGGCCCACTGTAAGTCAATGTTACTGAGTACCATGCTCATTGGTTACTGATTAGGGCTTCAGCTAAGTATTCTCTTCATTATCAAATAATCTGCTGAATGTTTTCACAATTAATCATATGTAACATCAAAAAATACTTATTTCCTAGAGTGCAAAGTGATGTCGTCAATGATCAGCAGGCCAAACACAAATATATGCAATTAGGATGTACAGAGCAAGTTCTTAAATTTGACATCCAGAAACCATAAAATATATACCATAAATAGTTGATACATTTTCTGTCCTAAAAAATGATTGATTAACCGACTAATCGTTGCAGCTTCGGCCCAAGATACACACATACTTGAACGTACACAAGGCAAAATCTTGCAAGCAACTCTGCTAAGCCCCTCCCTATAAACCATTTCCAGTTTTTTGTGGATCAGCTGCGTTAAAGAGATATTTCCATACTCCAGCTGAATGCCTATTCAACTAGGATAGGGCACTAGTTCTGAGATAGATTACAAATCTTGTGGTTTTGTTTATTCATATTTGGGAGCTTGATGTTTAGATCAGGACTGGGATCTTATCAGGGTGGGTTAGATATAAATATGTGTCTATTACACGTTTTGTCTGAATGTATTCTGTG